AGACCGAGGAGCCCCAGGACAAGAAAGCTAGGTCCAGTAAGGATCCCATGCCCAAGTCTTCCCCCAAGAAATCTTCGAAGAAACCCGGTGCCAAGCCGGTGTCCCCAGAGACAAGCAAGGCAAACCAGAAGGATCAGCAGGAGCAGGAGGACACGAGCATCGACGAGAAGAAAAAGATAGCACACAGGATGTACATGCGATTCTACAGAAGTGTCCACAGCCACTCGGTTGCTTTTTGTTCCCACCCTGAAGCATGCAATGTGATGTGCCACCATGCTACATGACTTGGACATTATGTGTTTGTAAAACAGACTCGAGGCCGCACCGCCCCCAAGGAGATCAAGTCTGCCTTCGAGCAGTCCAAGTACTGCAACATGTTTGCACTAAGTGGCCACAGGTTTCGTCATTTTTGCATGCATTGGCAACGTGCCCCATTTTCGTTTCACAACTCCTGTTTCATGCCAGGTAAGAACAAGATGAGCAGTTTGTACGAGGATTTCCTCCAGACGGAGGGGAACTGGAGAAATTCTATGGTGTACAAGAGCATCAAGTCCACCACCCGCAATGGACGTCGCGGCATTCGCCGCTGGCTCACGAAGAGCCAAATGCTGACCGTGTTCGACACCGCCGAAATCGTGGACAGCATTATCGCCCGCAAGGAGACGGACGAGTACCTTCGGTCCACGGAAGTCAGGGAGCACCCAGACTGCCCAGGAACGGGGGGTTGTGGTGTCAGTGACAGTGCAATCCAACTTTTCCGTATCACTCTATGCTGCCCAGTGCAAACAGCTGTTTGATATGTCGCAGGCCTCATGCAGTACTTGGTGCTTGTCGATGAGGAAGTGACAGACGAGGACGTGGATGAGATCGAGGACATGTTCCGGACGGAGGATGCATCTTCCAACGGCGACACAGACGACGACAGCGAGGACGACGACGACGACGACGACGAGGACAGTGACAAGTCGAAGCCGAAGTCCAAAGGTGGCAAGGACCGATAAGTCGTGTGTGAGATTTGGTGAACTAGTGAGTGGCTGAGCCAGTGCTTGAACGATTTTGCACGTTTGTACGTGTTGTGCATTCATGCATGTGTGTGTATGTGTGCATTTTGTGTTGTATTTATGGAATGCAACTGAACGGGTACATGTTATGCTGAGTCATATGCATAGCATATGTACATTTTTGTGTTGGCCGCTAGACTAGACATGTATATATATACCTCATGTTGGGATGTATGCATACAAGCTATGCCACATGCCATGCCGTGACTTCATGACCAAATCCTAAAGTTTGGCGAGGGCAAAGACAAGAAAGACAAGAAGGACAAGAAAGACAAGAAGGCTGAAAAGAAGCCCAAGAAGAACAAGAAGCGAGGAAAAAAAAACAAGAAGAATAAGAAGGACAAGGGAGACAAGTCGCCGGAGGATGTGGAGAAGGAACAGGAGAAAGAGCGATTCAAGAAAACAAAGCAGGAAGCCAACAAGGCTTGTGTGCATATATCGGATATACCGACAACAACCCATATGCTCTCACCCTCTCCTTCATCTGCCCTCCCAGGTGATTGGCCAGCTTAGCAAGATGATCCGCGAGCACAACATAAAGGTCGGAGAGTTGGAAGGTTTGTTTCGGGCTAAGTCTCTCAAACTGACAGTGGCACACACACAACTCTCAACGAATGCTTCGCTCGGCCAATCCCGCCTTGTGCCCAGGAGCAAGACTGTGCAGAACGCCGTTCGGAAGGAGGTCAATGATGCAATCGCACAGCTCACGACCTGCAGAGCAAACTTGCAGGCTGCTATCGATGGGCATCAGGAGCTCGGTATTCCTTATCTGCTTGGCTGCCTCAATCATTTCGCTTGATCAGATGATTAGGGTTTAGGGTTTAGGGTTTAGGGTTTAGGGTTTAGGGTTTAGGGTTTAGGGTTTTGGGTTTGTTCCTGGTCCCGACACCAAACTCCCAAGGCCAAAGTCCTGCAACATAAAATTTGGAAGCCTTTAATATCGCACTCCACCATACTTACTAGCACCCCCAAAAAACCCAGCACGCTGGGCCCTGAGTAGTTCTAGTCTTGTCAGGAGGAGCAGATGTTGTCGATGACCGACACCGCCAAGGATCTGATGAAGAAGATGGAGGGCTCAGTGCTTGTTTTCGGCAAGAAGAAAAGTTTCTCCAACAAGGAGAAGAAGTAGGAACATCGTCCGAGACGCAGCACACGAGCGGATAGTCTAAACAGATACGGACCCAACCGTCTATTTGACTACCTAACCTATGTAAGCAGTACAATAGTCCTCGTGAACGTGATGCTGTGTGGAGAAGACGATGCTTTACCCGGCATTGCGATATCTAATGTCGGTCTCTCGCTACAGAGTATGAACGAACCCTGCCAGTAGCCTACACCCCGTGCAAGGGGACGGGGTAATCCCCGTGCACATAGCTGTGTAGGGTAGATGCGACTTGGTGGGCCCCGCTGACAAAAGCTTCATGTGACAGCCAGCTCGCCTAGATTGCCCTAGAAAGCAAACCGTGGGTGCAAGCATATGCGCCATTTCAATACATTAGATTTAGTTCAACACCAATTCGCTCGCAGGT